CATTTCGATTTTCTTTTATTTTTTCTTTTATTTTTCTTTTTTTTTTCGTTTTCTCTGGGAATTTTTCCATCTCTTTTTTTTTTAGAACAAGTCAATTAATTTATTTGCGGAAACAAAAATGTAATAACATATTACATTTAGAGAAATACTTATAATACGAAGAATCTGGATAAAATGTGCTCAAATAAAGTTGCAGAGAACGTTTGAAAATAGGTGAAAAATATGCATACGATAAATGTCACCAATTTTCTCAATCTCAAACTTGGATAATTAAACCTTTATTCCTCAAACTCGATAATACAGAAACGATTTTAATAATCACAATATCAATAAGACAAATTCAATGACAATATTAATAGGAACAAAAGAGGAAAACCATCGACTAAATTGCTGCCTGATATCCTCTATCCTCTAAGCTATCAATCTGTTGAAACGCATCTTTACAAAATGATTTGGCGCTCAGGACCTTCTACTTTCCTGGAATAAAGATATCCCGGCAAAGCTCTGAGGTCAGAGATATGATCACAATTAGCAGCTTTAATAGGCGCAATGAATACATATGGAATATATTGTAGCAGCAGTATCTTCTCTTCTTCATCGCTTCAATTTTATGTTATGACTTTCGGAGTTTTTCTGATAAGTAAAAAAAAAAGAATCAAGTCCATATGAATTTGTTTTTATTTCTATCGAAATTCATTTCAATTTATCAAATTTTTAATTCGGAAATTTTGGAATTATCAGAATGAGTAATTTTTTATCATTTTGCCAAAAAAATCCACATATTTTTGCATTAAAATTAATAGTAATTAATTCCAAAATATACAAGAACATAATTATATCAGTTAAAATTAGTAAAAATTATTTTTTACGAATTGACATTTTCTACTATACATACATATATATCGATATATATTAATTCTTCATCTTCTTTTGAGTTTCAATTATCGTTAGCACTTTTGCAGTAGTATTAATCGCTAATTGTTGTTCATTTGTTGGCGTAGTTATTGTTAACGTTGAGTTGCTTACTGTATCATTTACAGTATCGTAGAGTCTTATAAAATTACATTGCTAAAAAGTGTGATAATATTAATTAGCAGGTAATTGATAAATAATATCTTAAAAGAAAGAAGAAAACGAAATATCAGTTGTTAGTTGATAATTATTATCATAATTGAAAAGTTTTAATAAATGGTAATTTAATTAATAGCAAAAGAAAGTTTTCATCTTAAGCTAAATGTATGAACAGTTAAATGATTATTTTTTCTATCTCGTATTTATCCATTTGTATTTTTAATTGAAAAAAATTTTTTAATACATACGGTGGAATTTGTTTGGTTCATTTGATTGCAATTGATTTCATCATTATCAGTTAAACCTTAACATTTATGATATAAAAAAAAAATTAAAAATATTTGAAAACAGAAAAACAAAATTAAAATTTTCTTTTTTCATTTATTAACGGTTAAAAAAGATATAATAATTTTCAACAGATTGATAATGGTAATTAGTATCATTAGTGATATTAATTACAGTAACATAAGCATATTTTACTTTTTTGTTTAATACAACCAAAATAAAATAAGTGTAAAATTTTATAAGTATAAAATTTTTAAGTACGATTGATAAGTACTACGATGTTATCTAATATTAACGATTTCGTTCAGTTTATACCACCAAATTCTATTATCAGCTATTCAGTGGAATAATACCATTCTATTCAGACAACTATTTGTTATGTGATATGATACTAGCTATCATGTGATATGATATCAATTATCATTTGATATGACTTATTAGCTGTTAGTTTCTAAATTAATTTCCTGGATTAAATTAATTCCCAATAATTCCTGTACAAATGATAACATTGATTTTTGTACAAATGATAATTGTCACAATTTGTCATCATAACTTTTCAAAATTATTTATTCCATTTTAAGATATGTATTTTTTGTAACGAAAATGCAAAAACTTACCAGTATCAAAATATCGAATAATATTTGATTCATCATTTAAACATTTATTAGCACATTCTTGAATTGTTAAAAAATTATTCTCATTCCCACCCATTCCAGAATAAATAAATGGTATACATTGCCGAAGTGCAACATTATAATAGACACGTTTCATATGTCCCATTCCATGACCAATTTGTACCGGAATACTGCATGGTGACATAAATGCTATAAATTTGTACAATTTTAATCAATAATATATTATCTTTTTTTTTTTCAAATTTTACAACTTTTTTTTTTCGCAACAGATCAATTATTGTAACAATGTAAAAAGCATGAATGCAATGCAATGAAAATGATTACAATAATGATAAGTTAACTTCTAATCTTATCTTGATCATCTTATGTTATAATTAATTAATTTTTGTATTTATTAAACACTTCTGCATGTATTTTTTTTTTTTAATTTAATAAATTTGAATACTTACTTGTTACTTTGCAACATACAGTTGTTAATATATCAGCTCCAATGTGGCAAAAATAATTAACAGGACATGGATTGGTAATAGAACAATGTGAAATTATTGCATTTTCATCCTGATATGGTAATCCTGTTGGACAGATAATTGATAAATTTGATGATGATGATAATGATGATGATGATGATGATGATGATGATGACAATAATGATGATGATATCGGTGATATTATAGCAATAGGTTTTCCTTCTGTAAATTATTGAAATAATAATTCAAATAAGTTTAAAACAAATAAATTGATTACTGTAGTAGATGACAAATTTTGCGAATTAATCATAAATTTGTATTTTTTTCAATTATCTTAAATATGCTAAATAAAATTTTACGGCATAATTAAACTAGAACAGATAATTATTAAGTCAATTAAAACAATCTTAATTTATGATAAGATTCATACCTGGACATCGCTTAACACAATCATTTCTTGTTAAAAAATTATTTTGATTGCCACCAATGCCAGCATATTGAAATGGTTTACAAGATCCGGAAAAACGATCATAAAACCACCGAGTATATGGTCCGTTATCATTGATAATTCCTTGTGATAATGGCAATTGACAAGGATCCGAAGCTAAATTTAAGAAAATTTAACATTGATATAATTTTTATAAATTCAATTTGCACATTTTCAAAAGTTTCGTTTTATTTTCCCTTAAATAATTTTAAATAATTTTAAACTATCATAATATATATATATTCTTACCTGCAGGACAACATACCGTTGTATCAGCATCACCACCAATATGACACCAATATGTTGGTGGACAAGAATAAGCATTTTGAACATTACATTTTGGTAATGCTACCAGATTATTTGTTGTAGTACTATCTAATGGACATGGATTTCGAAGAACTGAAATTTTATTAATAGATTGAAATTTTTTTTCTTACAAATTCAATTTTTGCAATAAAAATTTATAATTTCAAATCTTTTTTTTGGTTTTTATTATCATTATGGTAATCGTAATGGAAAATTAAAAAATAAATACTTGGACATTTTTGCATGCATGCTTCAGCTGTTAAGAAATTATTTTCATTACCACCAAGACCAGTGTATGTAAATCGAAGGCATTGTCGAGAATTTTGATCAAAATACCATCTAAAAGACTAATTACAACTACAGTAATAAAATGATGAAAGGAAAAAAGAAAAAGCAATAAGATAGTGGCAAAAATTACAGCAATAAATTACAGTAATTAAAATTTTTAATGAACAAATTTAATTTATGAAAAAAAATTTTAAATAAATATACAAATAATTAGCAAATAAAAAAAAAAAAAAAAAAAAAACCTATTGAATGAAGTAATAACGATTTATTGGTAAGAAAAAAAGAAAAAAAAAAATGGAATAAACCTGTTAAGTGAAGCAGTTCCAGTTCCCAAAGCTAATGGTGATAAGCATGGTTGACCATAAGATGGACAACAAACTGATGTTTCAGGTGTTGCGCCAATATTACAGAAATATGATGCTGGACATTGAGAACGTAATGCGGAACAATGCAAAATGTTACCATCTAAAGATTCCGCTGGATCACCCATTGAACAGGGATTTCTGTAAAATAATTTTTTTTTTCTTTGAATTTTAAGATTCTTTTTTTTTTTCATTTATTTTTTTTTTCACCAGTATAAAACTTTAAAGTAATACTTCTTTTAGTTCATATCTTCCTCTCTTTTTTTTCTCCCCCCCCCCCCCCAACAATTCACATTTTCTTTTTTTTGTCCTTTCAAATTTCAAATAGAATTAAAAAAGAAAAAGAAACTAAATGATATATTTGATTGAAAAAAATTAGTAAAGAATAAAATATTTGTAAAATGATATATTTGATTAAAATTAGTAAAATATTTAGCAAAAATATATAAATGAATAAGTTTATATTTTTGAACCTTAATTACTCCTACAATTAATAATTTAATTTACAAAATTGTAAAATAGTAAATAGGATTGTTTATGAGATGAAGTTTATATTTCAGTTATTTTAATTCTTTTTTTTTTTTTTAGCATAATTAGGAATAGTATTATTTAAATAACGAAAGAAAAGTTTTTTACACTAATTCTGGGCATCTTTCTTGACATTCTTTCAATGTTTGAAAATTATTTTGATTACCACCATAACCAGTATAGGTAAATGTAGCACATTGACGTAAGCGACGATCAAAATACCAACGTGGAATTGTCACACTTCCAGTACCTTCCATAACCGGTAAAATACATGCATTTTGAGCTAAAATTTTGTTAAAATTGAATAATTTAACAAGGAATATCATCAAGATTTATTTTTTGAAAAATTTTAATCAATCATTTTCTTTTTTCTTTTTTTTTTTTTGAATTTTAATGAAAAACAAACCACCAGGACAACATAGAGAAGCAGCAATATCAGCGCCTACATGACACCAATATCCAATAGGACAAATATTAGGTCCACTAGTTGAACAAATTAAATACTGCCCATCACTTCCGGCTGCTGGTTCACCGTTTGCACATGGATTTGAAATTACTGAAAATTTTCAAAATCGTAAATTTCTATGATTTGAAATTTAATTTTACATTATTTAATGCATTTATTTGAAAAATGGAAGGAAGCGTTTCTTTTTTTTTCATTATAGTATTATAAATAAAGTAATAATCAATGTATGAAATAAATGAATTGTAAAAATTAATGAAATTATTTCAAATTAAAAAATTTTAATTTTAATTTAATAATACAAACCAGGACATGTAGCTTCACAACTTGCTCGTGATAAAAAATTATTTTCATTTCCACCTAAACCAGTATAAATAAATGGTAAACATTGTTTGGTTAACGGCGCAAATGCATAACGATTCAAATGCGCTTGACCAATTCCTGGTACACGTGGCTCATTACAGATATCATTGGATTTTCCTGGACAACAAATTGTTGTCTCTTCTGTATCACCAATATGACAGAAATAGCCCATGTCACAAACACTACAAAAATCTTTTTTAATGTTAAATGATAATTTTTAAATTTAAATTTCAAATTTTGCCAAAATTTTATATTTTATGCAAATTGTTCAATAAAATTAGCGTCTCATAAATTTTGGTTTTTTTTTTTTTTTCATTATAATTTTTGATATAATTGTTGAAATTTGTTAAACAAAGGATAAAACTAATAGCAAGTATAATAAGGTAACAATTAATAAAATTAATTTTTCATAAATTTTAAAATTTTTTCTTTTTTTTTTGGAATCCCTAATATTGTTAAAATTCATTAAAAAAAGAATAAATTAATAGCAAATATGGCAAGGTAATAATAATAGCTAGGTAACTGGCTTAGTATCAGCAGCACTGCACATAACTGGATTCTGATGTTCATCTGTTTGTGGTTGACCAAGTCCACATGGATTTGGCAATACTGTAAAATATGAAATTTTTTTAATCATTTAAAAACATAATCGCATATAACGCAATTCACGTCATCTACTGATATATCATTAAATGACGTCATTTACGTCATCTATTGATGCAATTTTTTTCATCATTTAAAAACATGATCGCATATGATGCAATTCACGTCACCTGCTGATAAGCATTCGTTCACGATGCTATCTATCGTCATGTCACATGTTTTACATGAGCGCCGTATATTACATTAGTTCAACGATGAGCAATTGATCATAAAATTGAAATTGATACATTTTGCATAAACATTTGATACCTGGACAATGTGCTTCACAATCACGTAACGTCAAAAAGTTATTCTCATTTCCACCAAGACCAGAGTACTGGAATTGTTGACAGGTGCGTGTTGCTGAATTGTAGTAAAATCGTATTAAAACCGCATCACCGGTTCCTATTTCAACCTCCTGCTCACATGGTATCCCAGTAGCAGGACAACAAACCTGAATTATGGTTACGAATATGAATAAAATTTATTTATAAATCAGATTTCAATTCCTTCTCTCTATTCTCATTCAAATGTCTCATACCCATCATTCCGTTCCGTTTCCTGAATGATTCTTCCTTAATTTGCATAATCTACGTGCATCCATACCATATATATTTTAACCATAAAAACCATAAAAACATGAAATTGAATTATTCCATGGATATTTTGATAAAAACGAATAAATATTTCGACAAAATAACATATACCGAATTCTCCAATGATGCACCAATATGACACCAATAAGTTGTTGGACATATTAATGGTCCAGTAGCACCGCAACGTGTAATTTGTCCATTTAGACCAATATGTGGTCGTCCAGCAGAACATGGATTTCTAAAATTGATTAAATTTTTACTCTAACTTAAATTTAAACTGAATCTGATGTTTTTTTTTAAAAAAATTTATATTTTGATTTGTTATTTTAATTTCATATTTGCAAGCCATTTGTGTTTCATTTTTTTTTCCGACGTTATATCATTTCCTTATGTAATTATTAGGAAGGATAGAATTATCATTCTATTCATCTTGAAGGTAAAGAAATGTTGGTTCGTGTCTGATCATCATCAATAATTAAAAATAGTAAATTATTAATACTACTATTATTACTATTAATAATAATAATAAAAATAGTGATAGCAACAATAATAATAGTAATAATAGTAATAATAATTAATAATAGTAACAAAAATAATAATAATAATAATAATAATAATAAAATAATAATAATAATAATAATAATAGTAATAATAATAATAATAATAATAATAATAATAATAATAATAATAATAATAATAATAATAATAATAATAATAATAATAATAATAATAATAATAATAATAATAA